GCTCACTTTTAGAATACCACTGGGCAGGTGTGTCATCCGTACCAGCACCAGATGGACAAATGGCTTATTGACACCAGAACATGAGTGTCATCTGGATGGCTTAACAGGCAGCACGGGGTACAATTAGGACACACTCCCGTGCTGCTTGGAGCCACAGGTCAGTTTCTAAGGCTTGTCTCTGCTGACAGGGCTTGATCCCCACTCGCCTCTGGGCTGAAGGCCAGCATCTCCTCACTCTTGTCTGTGGAATCAAGGAGGTGAAGAGCAGTTAAAGAGCTCAGGACCCCTTTGGGAAGCAGTGTGAGGGGAAATCATGGCCTCTGATCTCTGTTAGATTCAGCGTCTCTGCTCTGCCTGATGATGCTTGATAACTTTTGGTCAGTTCAGAGCCAGTATGGGTTTGATCCCCTGAGCATTTGTTGTAGTTTAATGCAAAAACATGAAAGAAAGGGCTGGTGATGAGCAGGAGGGATGAAATGTGTGTGCAGTGATGGCGGGGAAGTCCCTCCCCTGTCACTCACAGCCTGGGTGCCCCTGTGAGGAGCAAGGCAGTGCTGCTGCTGGAAGATTTATTCTGTGTGCGATGACAAGGGGGCATGTTTTCTTCTGCCTTTGATTCATGGGACTGCCTATGACCTAAGAACAATCATTCATCAATTATTTTTATAGAAGCATTTTGTGTGGTGTTTGATTTGGGTTTGTTGCTTTCAGAGAGTAATTTTGCACTCTAAATTAGATACCCGTGCGCCCTTTTCCCTTCCTCATTTCCAGGGTCCAGAGGAATAAAGGTGGGGGATCACTCACAACCCCAGGTGTGGAGTCCAGGAGTTTGGGAAATTCTTCCTTAACTGGGGAGCAGTTGTGACTGCAGGGCTTCATCAGGAACTCCCCTGGCAACTCCATTTGGACAGTGTCAGGACCACAAGAGGGGACCCTACGTTTACCCAGGGCTGTGGCTGCTGCTGAAGGTCAAGGAACCATTCCTTGTTCTGCCTTGTGGTGGCAGGCTGCTAGACCATATGTAAATGAGACTGTGAAGGTGTTCCAGTGTGTAAGTCCAAATTGGGCAACCTTAAATTCCTCATTCTCCTGCCTTTGAGGTCCCTACACAATTCCTTATGATCTTTACTGGAGATGCTCTCTTGGCCATTCTGCTGTAGCATCGTGCAGTCCCATCTGTAGGTTACAGGTAACTATGTAAAAGGATTCTTCTTCCCTCTGCCTGTATGAAACCTGCTCATTTTAAACTCTATTTTCCTCATCTGGAATCTTTTCCCCTTTTACCTGACATCACTAGTTCTTGCATTAATAAGAAAGACGAGCCTAGAATCCACTGATCCCAGCTGAGATTTTGGCTTCAAAGTATTAAGAGATGATCCAGACCCCTCAAGATCAGTGTTTTGTTGAACAAGCTCCCCAGCCTAATCCAGGAAAGGTGCAGTGTAATCTTTCTCTGAGGTTGAAAGGAGAAAGTATTAATTTCATGCAGAAAAGATTGTATCTCTGACTGACATAGGAATAGAAAATAAATAGCTATTAAATTACATTTGGCTGTCTCAATCTAATAAAGCATCTTCTGGATCAATAGCTGAGGCACATAGCAAGCTTCCCCTCTTCTCATTTGAGATGCAAGAAGGAGCTTTTTACATTACCATAATGAAGAATACTTTAAGTCTTCACAGGAGAAAGGCAGAAGTAAAGGGAAAAGAACCCCAAGCCCCTTACTTTATGCCTTAAGCAAATGTCATTTTTCATTTGAAACGTGTAATTTAGGGATATTGGGAAATGTTTTATATTTAATGACTGTCTTATCTGTCAGGGTTGCTGAGCTGTCTGACAAACCCTAACCTAGAGTGTGTGACATGAGATGTGGAGTGCAGGAAGAGATGGGAAGGGCAAGACAAGGCTTTCACCCACTTTGTTCTCCTAATTAAAGCTCACTGGGGAAGGGTATTTAGAAGGTGATGGAGCTGTTCCCCACTGAAAATGCAGTTTCATCAAAACAAAAGGAGATCTGCCTGTGCTGGCTGCTGCTGAGCCGCAGACAGGACGTGAGCAGGGAGAAACTGCAGCCACCTGCAGAATAAAGCAGGACTAAGGGATGTGTTACCAGCCTTTCCAGTACTGCAAGCCAGTGAAGTCTATCAACCCGTGTAGTACATACAGAGATTATGGTCTTAGGAGCAGACTAGAGAGGATACATAGCAGTATACATGGTTTGGGTTGGAAAAGCCCTTAAGATCATCCAGTTCCAACCCCCTTGATAAGGTGATAGAGGATGAGGTTATCCCTGAGGACAGGAGGCATCGGGGGGTCACTGTCACTCTGGGAAAGCAATTCAAGTGGCAGATGTATTTTTCCTTGGAATCAGGTTCTGTGTAATATATTAATTAATGCAGCACGATGGAATGCGGAGTACAGTTACAACGTGTGTCCAGAGCAGCAAGCTGGGAAGGGATACAAACAGTACAGAGGACTGAATCACAATTCAAAATGATCTTGATAAGTGGGAGAAGAAATGATCTGAAGCCAACAGCAAAAGACTCCCTGAAGGGAAGTGTAACAATGAACTAAGAAAGGTGAAACCAAACCCAAGGAATCGATATCCAGTGCAGAAACTCTGAAACCAGGGTGAACTCCCCCGGACTCAAGGTGTTTTGGGTTGGAAATGAAGTCATTTCTGTGCAATGTATTGGTACAAGGGTCCTGCTTGAGATGGAGCTGAGAATGAAGGCCGTGTGGTTGGGTTTTGTCCCCTGATAACTATTGGCTCTGGCAGCTGAGTTGTGTTGGAGGGAAGGGGAAGCTCTCATTTGACGGGAAGGTGGAAGTGTCCCCTCATGAGAGGGCTGCAGTGGGAGCTCATCCCTTCATTATCAGAGGGTCAAGCAGAAAACAGGCAAGCGAGGAAAGGGAAGGAGACTTTGCAAATGGCTTTGCCACGTGTTAATGGAAGTCAGGACATGCTTCATAGGAACCAGGGGGTGAAGCTCAATGCGAACCTCAAGCTGCCTTGGCTCTGATTTGTGTAACACAAATCCCCAGCCAGCACAAGCTGCGTGTACAGCTCACACAACGCTTCCTGGAGTGCAGAAGTCTGCGTTTTCATTCACCCTCATTTAATTGATTCTCATTTTGGTTTTGGGAAGCATTCATTCGCAGACCATCTTTTTTGAACAGGGAACACCTTATAGCAGCCTTCTAATACCTAAAAGGGCGGTAAACCTGGAGAGGGGCTTTGGCCTAGGGCCTGTAGGGACCGGCCAAGGGGAATGGCTTTAACCTGCCAGAGGGGAGACTGAGATGAGCTCTTAGGCAGAAGCTCTTCCCTGTGAGGGTGCTGAGGCGCTGGCACAGGGTGCCCAGAGAAGCTGTGGCTGCCCCATCCCTGGCAGTGTTCAAGGCCAGGTTGGACACAGGGGCTTGGAGCAAGCTGCTCTAGTGGAAGGTGTCCCTGCCCGTGGCAGGGGTTGGAGCTGGAGGAGCTTTAAGGTCCCTTCAACCCAAACCAGACTGATTCTATGGGCTCTGTCAAACAAGCATTTCCAGTCTGTGCTGGGATCCTGCCAGCATCATCCCTCTGTTTTGCCATCAGATTGGTCCTTATTCTTGTGAGCATTCACCTCACTCTCCACCCTTTGTCATTTACTGTTTGACTTCGTATTTGCTGTTGATTACAGTTCTGTCTCTCGGCTTTAAGAGAGTTAAATTTGTTATGCTGAAGTTTTGGTAGGGGCATTAACAGGTGGCTTAGGAGTGTTACAGACACAGGAAAAGGCATATGTGCAAATACAATAGCAGCTCATTGTCCACCCCAAGTCTAAAATGTGTGTTCATTGTTATGTATCAACCAATGGATATTTTATTGAGTGATCTGTGGGACCTGTGGCTACCGGATAACTGCTTGGATTGAGAAGGAACCTGGTAGGATCTCACCTAACAAAAAAAAGCATCAGGATTATGCCCCAAATAAGATGATCAGAAAACACGTGGCAAAGGTTCCTAAGCATGAGGCTTCATGACTGCTGAGCTCAGGGAGAGTCAAGCTGGGAGACCTTGGCTCCTTAGGGCCCAACCTGCAGACCCATCATCTCCTTTGGGGCAGAGCTGCGAGTTCAGGGAGGTGCTTAGGTGGAAAACCATCTCAGAAGAACGACTGGAAACCCTTGCTGTCCATGCAGGGTGGGTTTAGCTGCCGTGGAGCTTCCTCCTTTCTTACATGGATAGGTGTGAAGCAGATGCTTTGAAAACCATCAGAGACAAAGCCTGTCAGTCTAAAGCTTTCTAAAGCTTCAATAGTGTGGACTTCTTGGTGCTTCAGAGCAGCAAAACAGGGATTGCTTTAAACTCGGAGTAAGTTTTATCCCCCCAACACCCATCTCAATGGAGCAGGATCCTTCTGCCTGTGCTATGGGGTGAGGTGTGGGTGCCGAGATCAGCCCATCCACGCATGCCTTGCTGAGCCAGAGGTGTGCACTGTACACGCTGCGGGAGGTTATGAATGTGGCTTTCAAGTTTATTGCCCCCACAGAGCTTTGCCTCGGGCCTTTCTTGGCAGCGAGCTGACAGGGCTCTTTCGAAGCACTTTGGTCCTCATTCTCCCTCTGCCAGGATCTTTGTGTGGGTGAGAACGGGAGGAGCCGAAGCCAAAGCTTTTCACAAGGAGCGTTTGCAACAGAACCTGTGGTTTTGCATGGGCGGGGATTTGAGCTGGAGGCAGCAGCAGGAAGCTTTATCTGATTTTCCTGGTACCTGGACCATGGTACTATGCAAGGTGCCAGTTTCCAGTGTAACGAGATCCCATGTGGGTTAAATGGCTTTGGAGCCAGTTCTATTCCCATTCCTGGTGCAATGAACGCGTGGCTCAGCAATGTCTGAAATCCACCCCTGCAAGAGGAGAACCGTGTTTCCTCGGGGAAGTGAACACAGGCACCGCAAGCAGCTGCTTTCTTTTCTTGTTAAGCCGTTTGCCAAGGCCGGCAGTCACCAGGATCATCAATTCCGTCCATTCCCAGCCTCCACGGATCCTCTGGCTTTTGGCAAGCCATGAAACCAGAATTCACAGGCTGATGGGCCCTTTTCCCTGCGGTGTCTCTCAGTGTTGTCTCTTCACATGGACACAAATGACTCCTCCAGCACGTGAAGCTGTCCTGGGGGCTCTGCCTGACCCTGCTGCTTCTATTCTGAGTCCAGCATCCAGAGAGGAAACTCGCACCCATCCTCTGCACCAGCACAGCCAACTGCTTGAGGAGGGTGCAGTTCTGACCCCCTGTGCTATTCCTGCTTCTCTGTGCTTTAACCTCTCCTATTGCTGGGTACGCAGTGACCCGTTCTCAGCCTTGAGGTCTTTGTTCACCTCTCCTCATTTCTCCAGCCCTTGCGCTGATGCTTGGCTTTAGCTCTATTGGCAGCAACCAACCTGATGCAACCTTCAGAGTCCTGCCCAGCTGATGGAGGAGGAGGAGAAGCCTTCTGCCTGTGCCACTTCAGCTCTTCACTGCCTTTAGGGTGCAGCTCTGGCCCCCAACCCTGCGGAGATGAGGATAACTCCTATGGCAGGATCTGCTCCCATGGCTGTGTCTTTGGTGGGGGAGCGCTGTAAAGCATGAAACCACACTTGTGAAACCAGCCCAGGGCAGAAGTCACATGCACGAGGGAGACGTTGCAAGTTGGTGCTTGCAGCTCATAAGAGGCAGTGCGGAGGTGCAGGCTCCTTGCCTTGGCTGAGCCCTGCCTGGTTAGCCCCTGGTGCCCAGGAGATGCAGAGAGGAGACTGACCCAGAGCACAGGCTGGGGCTGTGGGGCTGGAGACCCCGCATGGGGCAGAGGGGAATGGCAGCAGATAAAGGACAGTGAGGAGGAGGAGGAGGGAGCTGAGCTCGCTCCCCGGCAGCAAGAGCTGAGCTGGATCAGGTAAGCCTGCACCGGTTGTTCTGGAAGTGGAGCAGGACTTGCTGAATGCTTCTCTGCTGTTTAGCTGGGGCTTGGAGGGGTCCTATAAAGGAGACCCGTGGCCTGAAGGAGGCAAAGTCACCAGAGATGTTGGCATTGCATAAAGGATAACAAGAGGTATAGAAATAGAGTGCAGGAGATGAGAGGATGCCCCTCGTGTTAGCACAGGGGAGGATGTGGGGCAGACCCATTTCCACACATGGGTGGTTGTTCTGCAGCACAAGGCCAACCGAGGTCTGTGCTGCACGAAGAGGTGAAAGCAAAGCTGCTTTTCCTGATGAGCTTGTCCTGGCTGGGGAAGGCTGCTCCGCTCCTGTGGGCTGGGGAGGGCTGAGCCCTGTCCCTGCTGCATCCTTCAGGCTGAGCCCTGATCCTGCTCTTGCTTCCTGGGACTGCCTTCAGAGACTCAATAACACTTCCAATGTCTAAGCCAGAGCACCTTGATTCATCTCGAAGGTAACCTGACAGCAGCACGACGTGGTAGGTTTAATTAGTTTTCCCTTTGTCTCCCTTGTTTTTTCACTCCCTTCTTTGCTGCTCTGTATGGGGATTTCTGCCCTGTTTTGCATTTTCCCTTCCAATTGATGCTAACCTGAGGGGATTGAAGGCAAAAAGGGGAAAGGAGTGGGAAAATTCACTGAATTCCCCCTTTTGATGCTCTGTAACGTGGCTGCCCATGCTCTGCAAGGGAAATCTCACCTCTACGGTGTAGAATGAGAGCTGTGCCCATCCTGTGTGCACACACTCACTCGCACACCCCTTGTGCGATGTGCACCTTGGTTGATTTTGGTTGATTCATTTAAGTGTGTTTGCAGCCCTCTGCAGGGTTTTTCTCCAATCAGAGGGATCTTTTGTGTTGTCAACCTGCTCTGGTGGAAGGTGTCCCTGCCCATGGCAAGGGCTTGGAACTGGATGGGCTTTAAGGTCCCTTCCAACCCAAACTATTCCATGGTTCCCTTGCCTCTATTTCCCTTCTGACAGTCCTTCAACCAGTGCCTATCCTGATTTAAGCCAACCAAGACAAGCAGCAGCCAAAACGAAAGTAATCCCCTTTGGAAGGAGAGTGCAAGAGCATTGCAAGGGACCTTTGCACCAAGAGACAGCAGCAGGCTCCTGGTGCTAAAGTAAGGGTGAGCGGAGGTTGAAATGTAAATGCTAGTTTTGGAGAGCCATGGGAATTGGGTAATTGAAGAATAAACCTCAGAGTCCTCCAAGCATTTGCCTTAATAACCACCCACAGGTGGTTGTTAAAGGAGGTTCAAGGCTGTGTCAGCAGCGTTTGCCTGGAAAGCCCACGGGCACCGTGCCTGCTGCGTGTGAACATCAGCTCCTGACACTGCCCGTGGTGGAGAGGAGGGGGGAAAGGAAAGCAGAGACCCGCGAGGGCTTTGCTGCTGCTGGGTGAGGGCTCCTGCTTGCCTCTGCCTTCAGTGGGTGCGTTTGTCTTCCTGGTCTGCACTGTGTCCTGTGTGTGGTGGGGAATCACCCTCCAGTGTGGGTGCATGGGGCATTTACACTGGCTCTGCTTCTTCTGAAAGTGCCTGCCGAAAGCAAGAGCAAAAAGCCTCTTGGCTTCATCATTATGCCCTGTCCCTGGCAGTGTTCAAGGCCAGGTTGGACACAGGGGCTTGGAGCAAGCTGCCCTAGTGGAAGGTGTCCCTGCCCGTGGCAGGGGTTGGAACTGGATCAGCTTTAAGGTGCCTTCCAACACAAACCAGTCTGGGATTCTGTGATTCACAAGGAGAAATCCTGCCTATTCCTTGGCTGTTTACAAAATAGGAATATGTAAGGATGTTGGGATAACAAGCCACATTTGAGGATAACTTTTCTACCCATTAACAAAACATAAAGGTAATTGCAGCAAAAGGTGAGGCTGTGCATACTGCACTCATGGCTGGCCAACACCTCCCTGGTGATAACATCCCATGGGAGCGGTGTCCAAAGAGCAGCATACACCCAAGCGGTGTGTGCTGTTACCCTTTCCCTGCTGTCTCTGCAAGGTCTGGGATGTTCTTTTTCCCTTTTCCAGGGCTGGAAGATGCCTTGTTGCCCATGGAAAGCAGGATCTCAAGGAAGCCATCAGTGGGAGTGCGAATGAGGATTTCACAATCTGCTCCCCAGCCAGGAGAACAAACCACCTGCCCTGGGGCTGACGCCGTGTTTCTTAGCCGTGGAAGATAAGAGACAGACAAAGTGCTGGATTTGTGACAGTGCAGCCCCGTCCCCACAGGAGAGGCACCTTCAGCATGGCCCATGCAAGCCAAACTGGTGGAACTGAGAAAAACGGGTCACTGCCCTCCATCCTCTACTGTAAGAGTGATTTAAAGGAAGGATCCCTGCAATGGGTGAAAGGTAAGTGAGGAACTCGAGATGCAGGAATGAATGGACATCCACCTATAGAAACCCGGCATCCTGGAAGCCCTCTTCCCTAGAAACCTTTGGGAAACATCACTTGTGCTTTCCAAGTGGCTCCTTTTGCCCATAGCAATTTGCTCTTTCCTTGCAGCACTGCTTCCAAAGCCTCCTGAGGTGCTGTGCAGAGGCAGGAGGCAGCTCTGTGAATGCCTGTTCTCGCAGACACCTCCCTGCACCATTCAGGGCACCCTTTCTGCTTGCTGGGTGCATGGCACCTCCTTAGTGCCCAGGTTTTGCAGGGGTGAAGCAGCTTTTGTCTTTCCAGCAGAGACCAAAGAGCTGAACCCCTCTTTGGAACTGGGGTATCTCAGTTTGGCACCCAACTTGCTAGACTTTTGTGCTGAGCATCCTGACCAAAGGAGGACAGGACAGTCAAGCCCAGGGCTGAGGCCATTTGTTTTTATTCTTGCTTTATACTCACTGCCTCCACTGCTCGGATGAAATAAACCTCAGCAGGCACACAGGACCTTGTTATCCTGGAGGTGTCAGATGCATCTGCCCTTCTCATCTTGACTCGATGCAGTCACACCCCCATTGTAATGTAATTGCCTTGTTTCACCTGGCATCTCCTGTTCCTGAGCAGTGAAGAAAGGATGAGAATGAAGGACATGTGAGAGAGAGAAAGGAAAGGAGAGCACACATTGTGTTTTAGCCGGCGCAGCATCAGGGAGAGCAGCAGGAGCAGCCCCAGGGGACACATTGCAGATCTGACCCCGGATCTGCAAAGGGGAAGTGAAGCTGGGTGAAACGTCAGTGAAACAGGAGCTCGGCTGAGCAAGCACTTCCTTAGCCCTCATCCCTTCCTCTTGGTGCAGCACTGCTCGTGTTAACTCTGTGTGCCAGATGGGATGCCCGGAGATCACAGCCCTCCCGTGCTGCTCCGAGGTGGCTCTGCCTCAGCTCCCAGCAACCTGCTCTTCAAATCTAGGACGGGTTGTCCTCACTCATCCCAGGCTCCTGACTGCACCCTGGGTCTCTAGAGCACATCCCTGATCTCAGCCCGAGCTGAGACCAGAGCTGAGAGCCTTGAGCAGAGCCAGGCTGCCCAGGAGCACTGCTGGGGCAGGGAGCTGGATGTTAGAGGGAGCTCAGTGTGAGCCACATCCCTGCCAATGTGATGGTTGAGAAGCACTTTGGTTGCTCAGGCTTGTGATGGATGGGGTGGGCAGGCAATGGGGGACCTCTCTAAGAGGTAGGGAGCTCAGAACACCCAGCAGCTTGTGTCCATTGTGCTTTCAGTTAGGGATCAGTGAGGCAAGGTGTTACTCTGCTGATGATCAGAGAGTTATCTCCTCGCTCCTTGAATGTGTTCGAGTTGTCCCCCCTTTCTGTAGGCTGTTTCTTTACAGGGGACATGAGGCTTCTTCCAAAGCTCCTTGTGATGTTCTTAGAGATGACCAAGGGAGATTCTGGGTCAGGGTGGTCTGAACGCCTCAGTCTTCTCTTTGTCTTGTGCTGGGAGCAAAACCCATGCCAGAGCTATGCTCATGCCTCCTTTGGGCTCTTGCAGAACCCCTCAATGGGCAGGTGCTCATGGTGCTCAGCATGGACAACAGCTGCTCAGCCACCTCCTTTGATATGGAGCTTTGTGCAGAGAAACTCCAGTCCCTTGGGGTTCAGGTAAGCTCCTCATGTGTTATCCCCCTGGGAACCCTGTAGGAGTGAACGCAAGTGGGATCAGCATCATTTGCATCTGCACCCACATCACAGACAGCTCTGCCTTAGTTCTTCTGACAGTCACTTGTTTCAATTCCACTTCAGTCTGTTCCCATGGGCTGCTAATCAGCTGTAATCTTGGTTAAACTACCATGAAGAAACCCATTCAACACTGAGCTGCTTGAAAGTCACTCTGAGGGGCTGGAGCATCCCTGGGACGATCTATCCTTTGCCATGAAAAGCTGGTTTCTCTTGTGACCTTCCCTGCACTTTCCAGGGAGGTAATACTGCAAATGAAGCAAGAACACAAGGTTTTGGTCTGTGGTAGCTGTATGGGTGAGATTGGAGGTGTGCTCTGGGACACAGTTTGAGCTGCAGTGAAGCCTGGCCCATAATGACTGCCCAGGCTAGGATTTGATGGGATTTGGAGCCCAAAACTATGGTGTGGGTCCAGTTTTCTGCTTGCTCCCTGAGCAGGTGGCGGCGGAGCAGTGGAGAAGGTTGATCCAGGATGCTGTTCTGAAGCCTGAGGTGAGACGGTACATGTTCTACAACTCCAGGGCATTCCAGATAGCCATTGCTGTGGTAAGTACAAGGGGGGGGGTTCTCAAGACCTGCAGCTGGGGTTCTTGTGCCCAAGGAAGGAGAGAAGCCTAGGTGGAGAGGAGGTGCTGGTTTTCACACTATAATGGACTCCTTTGGAAACCTCAGTGCACAGATTTCCTGTGGATGGAGGTTAAGGCACCATCTCCAACCCCTTGCTGGTAGTCTCCCCAAGGGATGGCTGAATAACCAGCCTATACCGAGGTAGTTGTACCTATAACAGGCTGTTTTTTAACTTGATCTTAAACATCTGTAGAGATTCTGGTCCTGATGCTAATTCAAACCAAAGGACCAGTAAACCTTTTGATTCCTGAGGGGTTTGTCTAGTCTTCTTCTGGTGAGAAAAGCTCCTCCAGAGACCCCAGCCATTAGCACCTACCAGAAGGCTGATACTTTGCAGCCTGCTGATAATGTGATAAAGTCTGACTCCTTTGTTTAGCTGCATTGATTTTTTTGGGATAGCCATTATAAATGTCTTCTCCTCCTTCCCCTAATATTGCAGGAACTGGTGCTCAGTGTTTTGGTGGGTTTAGTACCCGTTTAGTGTAAACACATTACATTAGTGCAGGATGATGCTGTAACACGGTGATGCTGTGACATGCTGTGCTCTGTACGTCGTATTTGCTTCTAGGCAATCTCCTGCCCAAATACATGTTCTCTGAAGTAAAGGCCAATTGAATTCAATTCTGCCTGCCTTTGTGCAAAGGCCAGGTTTGTCAGTCCTTAACATAGTCCTTGACCCCAGTGTCAGCATCACCATTTACTGTGATCGAGTGGTGTCTGCACCTCCTAGAGTGTTTTGACACAGGAGCTTTCTAAATGAAAGGACTGTTAGATGTATTATCAATATGCCTTGGTGAGTGTGTTTCTTATCTGAATGGAATAACTCAGGTGAAATCCTTCCTAGGTATGAATCATCCTTAACAATTCACTCTGTGATGACTGGTAATTCTTTATAATAAACTAGGGCGCAGAGTCCTTCTAGTCCTTTCTTTTCTCTATTAATGGAAAAAAAGCCCACAACTCTGTCCTTTTCACCCTCTGAAGATCTCATGTGACAATTTATGGCAAGCTATTGCCCTATGAGAAGGGACTGGTGGATTTTTCTTCTTCCCATGAGGAGGGAAGAGAACCCTAGAGGAGGCCATGGAGATGCTGCGAGGGCTGGAGCAGCTCTGCTCTGGAGCCAGGCTGAGAGAGCTGGGCTGGGGCAGCCTGGAGAAGAGAAGGCTCCTGAAGGGGAGACCTGAGAGCAGCTCCAGTGCCTGAAGGGGCTGCAGGAAAGCTGGAGAGGGGCTTGGGACAAGGGATGTAGGGACAGGCCAAGGGGAATGGCTTTAACCTGCCAGAGGGGAGACTGAGCTGAGCTCTTAGGCAGAAGCTCTTCCCTGTGAGGGTGCTGAGGCGCTGGCACAGGGTGCCCAGAGAAGCTGTGGCTGCCCCATCCCTGGCAGTGTTCAAGGCCAGGTTGGACCCAGGGGCTTGGAGCAAGCTGCTCTAGTGGAAGGTGTCCCTGCCCGTGGCAGGGGTTGGAGCTGGAGGAGCTTTAAGGTCCCTTCCAACACAAACCATTCCATGGTTCTGTGACTTTTCTCAATCATGGTTCGTGTCTGTTTCTCTGGGTTTTCACAGGTTTTCTACATGTCTCTCTGGACAAACATTTACACCACAGTCCAGCTGTGCTCCTTCGGACGCTACTGGGAGGCCAGCGTGCTGGTGACCCTGGCTGCTGTAGCAGTCACTGTGGTTGTGATCCTGGTTATTGACCATCGCCAGAGGAAGGTGAGAGGGTGCTGCTTGTGTGCAGGCACAGGGAGCAGGACTTACTCCCATCAGAGTGCTGGGACACGGGTTGTCAGCTAGATACGTACTAAGAGCATAGTTATGTGAGGAAGGAAGGCACAACTTTACAGCAGACTCGGAGATCAGGTTTTGCAGCCACGATAGGTGTTGTAATACCTAAACGTAGGTGTGGGAGCTGGGTAGGATGGCCTAAATCACTCCTTCTTGGAGATAAAGCAGCCGTTGCAGGGCATGGTTCATGCTCCCACGGCTGGTGGGAAGCCACGGGAGCTCACCAGCAGAGCTGGCTCCTGCCCTGCTTCTCGTGGTGGCTCTTGGCTTCCTGTTGCCATTAAGAGCTTCATTCACTTGTGCTGCTGGAGCCACGGGGTCGTGGTCCAGACCCCACCACACTGCCCTGCAGCAGGTCTAGAACAAACAGGCAGCTCCTAACCCATAGGAGATGCAATACAAGTCATTAACCCAAGGTAGACTGGGCAGCAGAAGGAAAAGAGGAGATGCTGCTAGCACGAGAGGCAACCAGCCTGCAGCATCTACTGCTTGGTCAGTGTCAACGTTTGTTCATAGGAATCACAGGGGTATGGAGATTTCTAAGGAGTGAGCTGAAGAATAATATTGGGAAGGCTTGATCCAAAATTCAGAGGGGTCTCTGCACTGATCTGAATGGATTTTGGAGCAAGCCTCTAATTGACAGCTCTGCAATGATTCCTCTAAGGGGAAACCTGGCAAATGTGTGAGTGCACAGAGGTGCAGGACAGGAGTCCTTTATTTGGGCACTGCTGTGGCATGGAAGTGAGAACACGGTTCTGGAGGTCTGGCCCAACTTCTGCTGCAGAGCATGTTAACTTCTCTTGCATTCTTTAACAGATAAATGTGAACACAGACGTGAGGCTGGCCGCTGTCAATGAAGTCTTTATCAAACACAGTTTAATTCTGGGCATTACAGATGTCCTGGATGGGCCACACAGCATCCTACAAGTATCCTTTCTGTAGGGAATTGTTCGTGTCCCTGCTGGGGAGCTGATGATATGGAGCTATTTGTTCTTATTATGATCCATGAGGATTTCCAAGGGGTGGGATGTCTAGGATTTGTTCTCCCATTGGATGGCATGAGAAATTGGGGTTTTCTGTTCTATAAATGGGGATTAAGCTATGCCCAGGGGTAATTGAGAATAATACGATTAAAAGATTGAAGTGGGATTAGTCCTTTGGGCAAGACAATTATTCCTGAAAGTGTATTATACTCACATGACAGTGATGATGCTTAAGATGAGCAGAGTGACAGCAATGTGCCGATGGCAAAAAAACCCCAACAACAAGAAACCAACACAGAGCAAACTGAAGTCTCCATCCCTGGGCTCATTTGGTGCTTTTCAGAGATACCTTTTCTGCACTAGAAAAAGGCTTAGGGGAAAGAAGAGTTTCAAGACAGCATGGAAGTGTTAAAGGAAGGTGAGAGATGCTGGTGGACTTCACACCACCCTGTGTATACAGAGAGGCATGAATGGAGGGGGGACCAGGGCTGAAACACATGATCAGAAATGGGAACAGGGAATGCTGCAGGAGGGCTGGTGGGAGTGAACTTGTGCAGAATGGGGAGGGAACAAGAAAAGAACCTGAATTTCATGGTTTTTATTGACCACCATAGTTGTACGCTGTAAGTGAGGTCTAATCCAATGAACCTTCACCTACCAGTCCCAGAGCTGCCTGAAAGCAGAAAACAGCCCGAGGATTCAGTTGATTTTGATAAAAATAAATGGGATTAACCCCTAGAACGAAAGGAAAGAAATCAGGAAGGGGGTTAGGGGAGCTAAGTCAACATGACACTATATTTAGATGTAAGGCCTTTGAGATGAGTGATGGGCAATGCCCTGGTTTATCCCAGTGTCAGCACTAGGCTGCAGAAGGTGTGTGAGGACTGGCTGCCATGTGGGGCAATGTTCCCCCTTCTCTGCCCTTCCCCTTTAGCTTAGCTTAAAATTGGCCCAGTGATGTTATGTGGCTCCTGGGCGTATCCTGGGCATCCCGCAAGCACCAGCTGCCTCGGTTCCATCCATACCTTGATCCGCAGGGAGAGCTGCAGAGGGGGAAGCATGGAAAGACTCCTTCCTTAACCAACCCATCCCAGCTGTGGTTTGTGCACTTCAGCCCAGAGCGCTGCCTCCAGTCCTTATCAGCCCACATCAGGGACCTGCAGAGGACCCGGGAGGTAAATGATGCTCGAGCTCTCATGGTGACCTGTGCAGGGCACTCTGATGCCCCAGCTTGGGTGGGATGGAGCTGGGCAAAGTGGACCAAGTGTCTGAGTGTCCTCCTGGGCATCCCCTGCTGTGAACTGGGAGCTGGGCAGGCTGGGAGCTGGATCAGCTGCATTTGTTGGTGCTCAGTTCAGCAGGAATTTGTTTAGGTGCTGTATGTGTCTGGGTAATGAACTGTGTGACTTTAATGAAGGAAAGGCATCAAGAATCAAGGGCAAATCTGGAAAGCACGTGTCACAACTTGAAATAAGTAATGCCTTGAGCTGTCCTCCTGAAATGAACGAGATAGCCTGAGGAGTAAGAGCTGGGTTTACTGTATGAAAATGATGTCCTCTCAGCCTTCAGGGACTGTTTCCTCCATTTGGTTGTATAAATACACAAACCCCGTGTTCTCCTGCACTGGAAGGTTGTGGGATGAGAGGTGAAGGGGGCACAACAGCCTGGGAATCTCAAGGCGGCTCATCCATCACCGTGGATGGCTGCAGAAGCAGGTTGGAGGTGGGCAATCACACACCGCATCAGGAATTGGCTGATATAACTCATCTGGATTTTAAAGACTATTTTAAAGACAGGTTTTTCCATGCCAGGCTGTGACCATTGTGCTGGGAGAAGTCACTGAAGAGGCAGCTGATGGCAGCAGGGATGTGGGATGAAGGCGCTCAGCTCCAAGAGCTGGCCATGGTCCGTGGGCAGTGCTGCTGTGTTTTACTCTTGGGGTAACTCCTAGGAGTTAAGAGCATGCAGGAGCAAATCAAGGCTGTCCTCAAGGCACCGCTGCCTTCCAGGCTCTGGAGGCCCCCAAAATCTGTTTCTCTTCCAGCCGGCCCTGCGGCACAGCCTGGATGAGCTCTGTGTGGTTATGGAAGCAGTGGTTTCCCCTGACCTGGGCACGGAGGAGGAGGCTTCGCGTGAGGAGTCCCCTCTGTTATCCAGTGGGGTGAACCTAAATAAGGAGCCTGTGACATGCAATGAGCTGCTCCACCTTGTTCCTGAAGGCCCACCAGAGGTAAGAACCAGTATCCCACCCCGAGGAGCAAAGGTACCAGATCGCATCTCCAGACACCTTTGATTCCAAACCCCATCCCAGCAGCCCCTGGCCATGGAGGACACCTCCTTTATCACTGGAAGCTTGGAGGTCCATACACACTGCCTCCAGCCCTAGCAGGGCTGAGTAGTTAATGAGTACTGAGCAGCTAGTGCTTAATCCTTAAGGAATTAAAGGATTGGGCTTTGCCTTGCTGGTGGCCAGGGGTCCCTGTTGGGAAGGCAGGCATCTGTGCAGAGACCCAGCGTCTTTGTTCAGGCTGGGGACGAGGCTTGGATGTGCCCAGCCTTTGTCTCCTCTATGAATGTGCTTTCAAAGACTTGTGCCATGCTGAGCAGCAAACGTGGCCTCATTCCTGCTCAGCAAGAAGCTTCAAATGGGATGATTTTGATTCATTTCACATTTTTCCACTCACTGTTACTAAGTGAATTTGGTGCAGGTGACATCCCTGCAGGTTGAAGCTCTAGAGGCAAAACAAGGCAATCGGAGGCAAGGACAGAGCAGGCAGGTCCCCAAGCAGTCTGGCTGCTTGGCCACCCACTGTTGGGGTCATGTCACACCCCCATGGGGACAGTGTGCCAGCGCTGCTGACCAGACAGGGATCTGGGACAGTTATGTATGCCATTGGCTTCGGTCCTGTTCCTTTCAGAGAAGGACAGTCCTTGAATGAGGGAGCAAATGGCATTCAATGTGTCATTACTTGTCCTCCGACTCCTTTATTGCTTGTTCCAGGTGATGGCCCAGCAGCTCCTGGTCATCTTCAGTGGATGCTATGTCCGGCTCCTGGTGACCGGGCGGCTGCCCCGGGCCATGGCAGGGGGGCACCTGGAGCAGAGCAGCGTGCCCTGTCTGTGCCAGTACATCCAGAGCTCTGTGCTCAACGCCCACCGGAGCTGGTTCGTGGCACGGTGACCGGAGGGGGCTGCAGTATGCAGAAAGGCAAGCTGTCCATACACAGCAGTGTGAAGATGTCGTGGAGCAGAGAGAACGGCTGCGATTGCCCATCCTGGACTCAGCTGGATGAACAAGTGGAAGTAGGACTCTAATAAACCATACGAGACATTCAGTGCCCGCCGTGGTCCAGTAGAGCTCAAAGGGCTTCACTTTGGACCACTATTAACAGGGTCACAAGGTGATTGAATTTAGTCATTAATCTCCATCCTGGCCACAACTTGAGTTAATAATTCCTAGAAATGTCTCAAAACTCAGTACCAATGGTACCGTTCCGCTTGGATTATGATCAAGGGAAGGCTCTCAAGGGGTGACTGATTGTCTCTGCTCTCACTTCCCACCTTACTCAGGGACCAGGAGTCCTTGGTTTGGTCAGTTCCTCCTCCTTAGCCTCCTTAGTTCCTGGTATGGTCAGGGGTGCTTCACCATCCAGCTCCTTGCACAGAGGCCAAAGCCTCACAGGAATTCCTGAGCTTGTGCACTACTACAGCATCCCTCCATTGTGTGCATCCCATCCTGCCACCGAGTATCTACCTCTTGTGTGATGTATCAGAAAGATTTTGGTACCGAAGGCCAAGCACTGCTCAAGGCAGCAGCAGGGGACCCAGGAGCACCACCACTGCCCTTCGTACCAGTGCAGCCCCTGCATTTAACACAGCTCAGGGGCCGGTGTGCCCATCCTGCCTGCTGGTCAGAACCTCTGCCAGTGCCAACGGGGCAGCTCCCCTTATTGCAATGAAACACCCAGCACTTAACTGCAGAGAAGGAGCTCAATTGCTTTGTTCAAAGGAGCTGATTCCTCTCCCCAATACAAACAAGTGCCTGCCCTGATCTTTCCATGTGGGGCCTCTGAAAGTCTGGTCTCCTGCTGCAGGCCAATGGCTGTGGTTCTGCTTCACCTTCATAAACACTTGCTTAAGGCACTGGCGAAAGGAGACATCCATTTTCCCCTCACCACATCCCCCCATTAAGGAGCCAGATCCTGTTATTTTAGGGGAAAGGCGGTACTCCAGAGATTTTATAGGACCCCTTATTCATGCAGTTCCTTTTCCTCCCCTTGCACACAGCACATGTGAGCCAAACGGAATGGCTCAGCCCTACATCTGCCCTGTGGGTGCCCTGGCAGAGGTAGGAGACCACAGGGCATGACTCGAGCATTGTGCTCGTGCCAAGGTGCAGCTCTGGGCATGTTTGCACCAGAGCATCCAGGAGTGACTCAGCTGAGCCAGTCAAAGGTATTGATGGGGCGGATCTGTCCTGAGCTGAGGTTCCTTTGTCTGCTGCTCAAAATGATTCCGTTTTGACAGTTCTAACACCTGAGCAGCACGGACGGGTGATGCAGGAGCAGCCTGATGCAGGGCTGAGGAGCAGAAGGGTCCGGAGGAGCAGCGGCTCTTGGGGGTATCATATGAGTGTTCTGCAAACTTGCAGTGATTTGTGTGTTTAAAATGGGCCAGGAAAAGGCTGGGGAAGGTTGGCAGCAAGGAGAGCAATCCCTCAGTGCCAGCTGGGTGCGTGGTGATGAAGTTTGGTGTTTAGCAGGGTGCTGAAATAAAGAGGAGTGTCACGGTGAGACATAGCTCTGGGGAAGTGGTGCTTTAGGAGAAGGCATTCACCCACCCCTCTGACTGCCCCAGAGTCAGTCTGGCCTCCCTTCCAAAGGCTCATCCTCCCTGCCAGGGACTGGGATGCAGCCACAGCATTTAAAGGCAAAACCCAGCAAGGGAAGAAGGTAAAGCAGATTCTGCCTGTTACAGTCCCTTTGCTCTAAGAGAGACTGTGGATGCTGGAGCACAGGCAGAGAGGGATGGGGACCAGCACATCTCCCCTTTAGGCAGGGAGATGTGATGTGATCCCTGTGACAGAGGAGGAACAGCTGGGGATTGCACTGGACCTAGGGCAGGTTATGTCCCAAAGTAACAGAGGAAACAGAGAGCTCTGGATTTAACGGGCTAAAAAAGAGTTAGCTACTGTGGCTGGCGTCCTGGCTGTGTTTCAGACCACTCCATCACCAGCCTTTCTTCCCCTTCACACACCAAGGCCACACAACAGCCTCAGTATTTACTGTGCAGAAATCCCCCCAAGACCTCTTGCCTCAAACAAGAGGTTTCCTTACTGCTGGTAACCACTCAAACCATTTTCTGCCCAGCGCAGCAAAGCCGTTCTCTCCTGTCAGCCCTTCCTTCTCTCTTATGTCTGCGGTGGGTTTATTTCTTCACAGGCAGCTTCCTCTTTCCTTCCCTCCCGTAGGCATGTTGCTCCAGTAACACTTAGACACACATGGGGAAACAGGAGGCTCTAGGAATGGAGAAACGCTCTGAGCATTGGTTTTGGGCAGCAGCACCGAGGGCTGAGCCCACTGTGCTGTTATGTGACTTGGGCTTGGCTGGAGGAGCTGCCTTTGGTGCTTTGTGGCTGATGGAGAACCTGGGTTTGAGGTGTTGGGGCTTAAACCTTGTGCTGTGATCTCTAAGCTGAGCTGGAGAAGGTCCCTGCAGTGTGAACTTTGTGTGGAGCAGGGGAAGAAAAGGACATTCCCTCTCCTTTCCTGTTTCTGTCTGGGCTCTGCAGGGATGAGAACGTCCTTCCCTACCCTGCCAGACCTTCAAATCTTCTTGTACCACGTCCCATTGTATGCAGGCTGACATACCCCTAGCAGATAGGCATAGGCAGTAGCATTGGCCTTGGTTTCTCCAGGGTCCTTCTGCCATTCCATCTCCAGAGCACTGCTTGCTTTTGTCCTCAGGGTCACTGCAGCCATTTACTCACAAAACGCAGATTTTTGTGCAAAGCCTTGCTGTGGTTTCTGCTTGCTGATTCCATTGATCTTGATGTTAGGTGGATTCTGAAAGCTTCTGCTTTGAAAAGGACAATGTGCTTCCTGCTCCAAACCCAACACTATCTGATTCAGCCAAATCGGACTTTGGTTTTGATGGCCTTGCTATGGGGTTATGAAAGGGTGGTCAGCTGTGGTTGATGGAGAGCAGGTGTTGATTGTGCTGGCACTGAAAGGCAGCAGCCTGGGCCACTGCAGAAGAAAGAGAAGGATCAGTGTATGATACAGAGAGGAGCCCTTGGTGTTGTTCTGCTGTTCCATGTCAGGAGATCTGAGTGAGCTCTGATGCACGGGGCTGGAAACTGTAAAATGCAGCATAGAAACCTCTGGTTGTGCTGGTGCCCTGTCATGCTGCCTGTGGTGGGCGTGAAAGGCAAAGTTGTGAATGGACATGGAGAATGATGTCTGCTCTAAAGCACAGAGGGCTCCCCATCACGTCGTGGTTTGTCACTGGAGCCTGCAGGAGTGTGTGTCATAAGATGTGTGGGTGTTAAGAAAGAATTAAGTTCAAGAAAATAACCCCCAAACCCTGAGCATCCCCCTCTAGAGCTCATCCCCAAATCCCCTCCCAACCCTGTCTGGAGGACCCCATCTTTCCATTTCGCACAAGAGCTCACCAAGACAAGAGCAATGATTCCACCGCAGCCTTGTGCTTTAACAGATGGCGAAGGCATCTGGAGGAGTAAACGGCTCTTTGGAGGCTTTCCTTCCAGTTGTTTGGCTCCCCCTGTCTCCAGACCCGGTGCTCCAGATGGGTGCCATCCTTTGCCGACGCGGAGCTGACGCCTTGGGTTTGCAGATGGAACCCTCTAGATGGTGCTAAGCTAAAGAGAAAAGTCAGTGGCGAGAGGGAGAGGTTGTCCTGTGACACTGCCTCTGCAGGTCTTGCACTGCCTGAGGTCTCCTGGGCTAGGAGAACATCTCTGCTTGCTCTCAGTGATGCACCCAAGCAGTTCTACACTGCTTCCATGGAGCAAACCATGTCTATTTGCAGCAAATACTTCTCAGGCCCTTCTTCCACTTCACATTCCCAGTGCTGGTGGGAGATTCCATAACCACATCATGATTTTAACCCACGCACCTGCCACTGTCCATGCACTACATCAGGCCAGTTGTTTTGTGATGGCAAAACGTCTATCTTAACTATTCTTTCTGCTTCATCCAGTTTTACTGCGAACAACTGCAGCTACTGCATCAGCTGAGTCCTCTCCTATCTCATGCGTCATTACCCAGAATCTTCACCAAATTCAAGCACAAATAATGTATGATTTGTTGATGTGACGAACCCAGAGAGAGAATTCAGGCACAGAATGGCAAGAATCATTGAGGATTAGCTATGAAGGAGAAGTCTGCCACATCAGCAGCTGAACAGATTTTACTTTGGAGTCACAGATGGGCAGTAAATAAACTACTGAAAGAGAGCTATTGTTAGGAGAGCATTTTCAAGAAGAATAGCCACGTTCAGGTCTGTTTTTCTTTTGACTAAATATACATAGGGAGAGAACAGCTCTGCTCATCTCGGTAGCATGATACTGATACAATGCTGCTGGGAGGCAACTAAGTTCCTCTCGCTGTGCCTTGTCTGCAGAAGGAAAAGATGCTCATAGCACTGATGGCATTAAGGCACAACCTGCTGCTTCACATAGGGCTGCAGGAGGCAGCTCTTTGGCACAAGCAGCCTTGGTTCAACTGGAGCCAAGGAGTTTTCAGCTCCCATCCAGGTGCCTGACCTAGAGAGCAAGCTGACAAGTGGGTTTTGGTGTCTGTGCCATTCCTGCTGCCCTGATATCACCCTTCCCTCCGTATGGAGAGAGGCTGTTGCAGGTTTTGATTACTCTCCAATCCAGGTTTATTGGCCTGAGCTTTGAACATGGTCTCTACTGACGGAGTGGTGAAAGGCTGCTTTTGTCAAGGTTTCCTTCCAAGAATGGCTCAGGTCTATTCATGAGGAGCCTATAAGCTAGATTAAGAGCTCAGGGACAGATTCTCTGCTGTTTGAAACCCCAAATCTGGGCTGAGCAGACTGAACAGCTGTCCCCTTTTAAGCAGCAAATTATGGTCCTAAGTGCTCAGCACTTTGCCATTTATATGAGCCTGTTCCAGGACTTGTTTTCTGCAAAGCACATCACCCAGTGCTCAGGGACATTGGGAAGATGAGGGCAGGTACCTGAGTGCTGATGTGAGACTTGAGCTTTTCTGAAGATGAGACTCCTCAGGTTCCTGCTTCTCCTTCTCAAGAAGTGCAAACACCTCTTAAAAATGAGTTGTCAACCCT